CATGGAGCCCGGGCTGCGCGGGGCGCTGCTGCTGTTGCTGCGCCTGGGCCAGGTGAGCGCGGGCCTGCACCTGCCGGGTGCGCGGAGGCTTGGGGGCTGCGGGGACATCCGGGGGCTCGGCAGGGGTAATCGCGGGGCGGGCCGGGCCGATCGCCGCGGGTGCACGGCGCCGACCTCCGACCCGGCTGGGGGCGCCGGTCCGGGGGAAAGTTCCCTGCCCCGGACCAGGTGGCTCTCGCAGGCGACCCTGGAGGCGGCGGCAGCCTCCGCCCCGCGCCTCCCCAGAAGGGGCTGCCGGGCTGGGGTTCAGCGCTTTGTGGGCGCCGGTTTCCCCACCCCTTTTTTCTTGCGGCACTTCGGAGCTCGTTCTTCGCGCCTGGCGTTTTGGTGGCCGACCTTTCTGAAAGCGCCGCTTCCTTTCTGTGGTATTTCCACGGTGTTGGGAGGGGGCAAGGGCAGAGCAGCTGGGGCAGCGCCGACCCCAAAGAGGGGCCTCGCGGGGCCTGAACGCCCATCTGGGTTTCCCTCCCCCCACATCTTCACCTCCCTGGAGCCAGCCGGGTTCTTGAACCTGTGGACGCCTGGAGTGTGCGTTTTGCTAACGCAGATCCTGCTGGTCGCGTGGATACCAGCTCTCTCTGTTGAGAGTTCGGGAGGGGATGGTGGACCAGGCTGGAGCCTGGCTTCGCGAGTTTTCACCACAGGTTGTCTAAGCCCAGCAGGGGGGATGACAGGGGATCTGGGGCCTGGGACTGGGCAGCTCTGAGTACCATCCGTTTCCCTGGCAAGCTGGCATGTGACCTGTTATTGTTCTGGGTGGGTGTCAGAAGACCAGCTCCAGGGTCAGGTGGTGGAGTTTGCTTTGTTTTTCCTTCACCTTCTAGTCTCAGTTTACTCATCTGTAGAAGGGGTGCAACACCCATGGTCTAGTGGAATTGTCTGGGAGCGTCCATTAATCAATCTCTGAAGGATTTTTTTTTTTTTTTCTTTTGTCTTTTTGAGACAGGTTCTCGCTATGCAGTTTAGCCTGGCCTTGAGCTCACCTGTAGCCCAGCTGGCCACAAACTGCCAACCATCCTTCTGCCTGAGCCTCAGCCTCCTGAGTGCTGGGATGACAGGCACGCACCACTGTGCATGCAGGAATTTAGTAAATATTAAAGATTCGCTTTTCAGGTAACGCTGTGCCAGGTAGATTTCTCATTAAGGTGCAGTATGGCCTCGGTGCTTTCTGTCCCCGTAATAAGTTCATGGAGCGCCACCTTGGACATTGTAGAAACACTTGCCTCTTATTTGGAGATCTCTTGTCCCAAAGATTATAGCAAAGAAAATAGGTGCGCTTCCAATAGTTTTTATTATTCACCATTTTGCTTCAACTGAGGTGGTTTGGAGCTGCGCTTGGCTCAGCAGAACGCTCCCTGGGTCAGGGTATTCTTGCCCAATCCTTCCTTGTGTCTTCATGGATTGCTGCTCTCTACTTCCTATTCGCATGGTTCCTTCCTGTAGTGTTTGCAGAAACGCAAGCCTCTCTTTAGAGTTCTCATTTTAGGGCTATGTTAAAAAAGTAGGAACTGGGAAAGGCTAGCTGAGGATGCTGAGGTCGCCCAGCAAGACGCCGGAGAAGCCAGATGAAGCTGGGGTTATTCCGAATAACATGGGCTTCTGTCTCTCAAGTACTGCTTTGGGCTTGTCTGTCATCATAGGCCCATTGCTGTGTCACTGTACAGCCCCAAAACTGTGAGCATAGATTGAGCTCAGGAATCAGTCAGGTGTGTGGCTGTAATCCCAGCACTTGGAAGGCTGAGGCAGGAGGATCACAGCAGGTTCGAGGCCACCCTGGGCTACAGAGTGAGTTCAAGGCCAGCTTAAACTACACAGCGAAACCCTGTCTCAAAAAAAAAGCAAAACACCAAACAAAAATCAGATTTGAGATGTTCCTGGGATGAGCTGCTTAGGAAATAAGCATTGAAAATATCTGACTACCTCTTCACAATGATCGGTCCTTTGAGGATTGGATTGTATGTGCCAAAATGAAATGAACTGTAATGGGTTAAAAAAAACATGGAGAGGTCTTGGAGAAGACACAGCTCGGTTAGGCCCTTGGTGTGGACAGGGTGTGGGAAGTGGCTCACGGAGCTGCCGGAAGAGCCAGAGCTTAGTAGGCCTGGAAGAGCCCTTTCGGCACCTCCTGTGGGCTCCCTTCCTGGGACAGACAGGCTCGGGGGAGACGGCTTCAGCTCAGGCTGCCCTGGGTGCAGCCTTGCCCCCACCCGAGCAGGCAGCTTCGGTTTCTGTGTGTGTTCTAGGCAGTGTGACAAAGCCATAGCCAGCCCCCAGCCGCCTCCTCTGGAGAAATGTCATCCTGTGAGGTTCCTCAGAAAACCAGCTCCATGTAGTGGGCTGCTTTCAAATGAAAAATGAAAGGGGGGAAAAAAAAAAAGAAAGAAAAAGGGCTGCTGGCTGCTTCATCTTACGGTATCTTCATGTGCCTTGCTTTGTTTCCTGGGGAATAATAACGATTTGTGCTTATGAGCCCTCCCAGTGGATCCGTAAGCCCGAGCGCTTACCTGCTTTATCCAGGGCCCAGAAAATATTCTGATTCCCCTTTAACCTGTTTTTCAAATTCTGACAGGGTGGGGTGGGGGTGACTCTAAATGTTTTTGTTTTGCTTCTGGACAAGAGAGAGACCAAATGATTAGGTTTTGTTTGTAGACAGTGTAAGAAAGTAGAGCAGATTGGTTTATGGTTAGACCATGGCATTGAGCTGGCTTCAAGTTCAGTCCCGACATACCACGACCATGGCAAAGCCGAGCTTCCTCGGCAGGGAGAGGCCTGGCTCCCAGGGGCAATTTCGGTTTGCAAAGAGGATATTTAGCTCTGAAAAGTAATTTTTGCTTGGTGTTGAGGCTAAGGCAGAGTTGCTGAATGAGTGTGGGCCTGGCACTAGCTGCCGTCCTGAGCGATTCCTTGGTTCATTCACTTCTTGGCTAAGGGGATGACTTTGAGTGCCGGGTAAGCTGCAATTTTCTGTACAGCTCTCTCCTAACGTAACGCTGCTGCTAATGTTATAATTAATAGATAACATTAGGCAGGCGCTGGGAAAGACTTGAATGCATTGTCTCATCTGCCTGTTTCAGAACTGCTGAGGGATCGCTGCTGTTTTATTTTTATCTGAGGGAAAATTGAGGCTCTGAATTTCCAAAGAGGCCCAGCTGCCATGTGCCTAGTGGAGTTCACTGTCCCCAGGGTCCCAGCCTACTGTCCTGTGCTGTGACAGCGTGTGTGCTGGAGGTGTCCCGTGTCTAGCCAAGCGTTGAGGCGGCAGACTTGTGGCAGGGAAGGGCTCAGGGCCCTGCCTCAGGCCAGGGCACCGTCACTGTGGATCGTTTATGTCCCAGGCCTTGTAGGACCAGCCCCAAGGGTCACGGGGACAGCCGAGGCCGCCTCTTGTGTGCTCTTGGTTCTCAGGAGCCTGAGTTTCTGTGGCTCTGCCTGGTTCAGGGGAGACCTCGGTTGTGTCTGGGCCCCTTGGGCACGAGGCCCTTCTGCTGCCAGGTGGAGCCCACCGCGAGACTGGCTCCTTGTGGCTGCTGCTGTTTGTGGGGAAAGCACAGGCGCTCCAAGGTGGAGCCGGGGGCTCAGACTTGACGTCCAGGGACTTGGGAGGAGGACCGAAAGTTTAAGACCTCCCTGGGCAACTTAGTTTGACCCTGTGTCAAAGATAAAATAAAATCAGAGCTGAGGATGTAACTCAGTGATGGAGCATGCACTGTGAGAGCCGGAGCTTAGTCCTCAGCACTGTACCCTGAGAGGAGAGCGCTGGTCACCGCACCTGCCTTCATTTTCTTTAATGTTAACAATTATTGGCCGGTGTGGTGGCGCACACCTGTGATCCCAACGCTCAGGCAGCTGAGGCAGGAAGGGTCACAAATCTGAGGCCAGCCTTGGTTACAGAGTGAGTTCAGGACCAGCCTGAATGCACGGAGAGACCCTGCCTGTAAAAAGAGAGAAGAGGCGAGGAGAGAATGGGAATTATTAGTTTTATGAGGTATCAGTGCTTGCCAGGCAGGTGCTTGTGCCACTACGTCTCCAGCCCTATTGGTTCAAATTTAATAAATAGTCTAAAGGCTTTGAGTAAGTAATTACATACATGTGTGGTTGTCACAGGTACAGGTATGTCCGTTGCTTAATTTCAGGGGCCAGGTGCTAAGGACAGGCTGGGGAGGGGAGCAAGGGCCTGCGTCTGTGGCTGTCATCTGCCCTGGGGAGACAGAGCTCAGGTCACGCCCTGCTAACCAGTCACACTTGTGACCTGGCCACAGTAGTGGCAGCACAAGGGCTATGGTGTCTTTAGGGTGGGGGCCGGCACTGAAGGAGCAGCGTAGAACACCCCGACAGGACTCCTGGAGGTGGCAGTGCCCTCTGCCCCAGAAGTGTGAGGCATTCTTGTCACTGTGCTTGGTGGCTGGCTTTACCGGTGACCCTGTGAGGACAGCTCAGCGCTGTAGGAAGTGTGTTATTACTTCCGTATTGGGGACAGCTGTGGCTGGGCCATTGTCTCAGAATTTCCATGCCATGGAAATGCTGGGCCCGGGCTGTGGTGTAGGGACAGCACAGGGGACGTTTTGAAAGCACAGTGGTGTCAGCTCCTGCAGAAAGGCTAATTTTAAACATGCAAATGATTTTCAGTTCCACTTTTCCTTTTTCCTGTTAGAGGGACCCTGGGCTCTGTTGCCAGGTCTTAGGCTCGGGCAAACAATGTAGTTATTATGTCCCCGCCGCTCTGCTTCTCCTGGGGAGCAGTGGGGTGATGTTTCTCTGGGTGCTTGTGGCTGGGCCGGTCCCAGAGTAACTTCATGATTTCAGGGTGCCTGAGTGACTGTTAAAACTTAGTACCTGTGTGAAGCTTAGGGCACAGTGGCTTGCTGTATAATCACGCTGGACTCGACCTCACTCAGGAGCCCCAGATGGCTTTGAATTGGAGCTGGTCCTCCTGCCTCAGCTTCCTGAGTGGCGAGATTAGAATCATGTACTGTCCCACCTTGTTCAGAGTGG